GGTATCTTGGACGTGCTCTGTCAGTTTTCATTCAAATTTGGCACATACATGTACTTTATACATGTTAGGATGCATGTCCATGATAATTTGTTTCAAAATCTGGTCAAGGATGGCCGATTGACAGCCATCTGACTTTTTGCCTTACTACTATATTTCCACAATTTATGTACCATTTTCATTCCATTTTTGGCAAATACATCATACATATCAGTGTGTTTCATAATCAGATCAAAGATGGCCGAATAACGGCTGTTTTTATTTTTGGCCATATTACTACTACACGGAACACGTATTTTGATGTAAATAAACAATCTGTTGTATACGTCACTTGGAACTCAAGTTTCAAGGACACGCTCGCGACAACCCCTCCGCTTTAATATGACGAGCACAAAGAGAACTTAATTTAACGGGGACTGTGTCATTTTCAATGACTTGTTTTCACTGAATCATTCCTTCAGCGAAAATAGCGAAAATTAATTCTACCCAAAAAAAAAGTATTTTACAGTACTTGATTATTTACCATATTAACCAATCAATGTTTAAAAGTTTGTCGTTGACACATGCACAAGATATGCGTCTCATATAAACAAAGATGATGACTTTGACTGTTGCGCAGAGCAACAAGTACAAACTGAAACAATGCCAGGATTTAATTAGCTAATTTTTTGGGTGATTGAAGGGTATCAAAGTCAACAAAAGCAATTAGTGCAAGTCGCAGGTTAAAACTCATACTTTTGATTTTCATTAGAAGAAAGCATTGGATTGTAGGAATATAATTAGCATAACATATTCAGTGAAATTCTGTTCAAGGCATTCAGTTTTTTTGTACAAATGAGTCTTGTAAATAGTACCACACAGTCCCTCATGTCAGTTGTGTGAATTAAATTGTATCCCCACATAGATCTGTGCTAAGTCAATACTGGATGAATGTTTAATCTTAACGGACAAACAACTGAGAGGAAAGCATAACAATATGAGCACTGATGAAGATAAAAATAGGAAGAAAATAGACATCCTGTTACAAGTGCTGTTAAGAGTTGAACGAGAGGTTGCAATGCCATGTGAAGAGAGTCGTAGTGAAGTAGTTGAGCAAGTAAGTACACTGTCAATCTTTTATAGAGAAAACAAATTGTGTAATTCTGTCTGTGATTGTTTCGGCAATACATAGTCCAAATTCAGTTGAAAGTCATATACTTTAAATTTCTTTAAATGTTTTCTTTGTTTTCTAAGATACAAATTCTGCTTGGAGCTGTTTCTATCTTATCAGAGGATACCAAGGATGACACTATCTTTCTTAATGAAGTGTTGATGGAAAAGTGAGTTTTATCTTTTATTTCTTGTGGTATACTGACCCCTGGGGCAGTGGGGTTAATCTTAATATAAGCGATCATTATGTCAAACTTACTCATTTTACTTTAATGATCTCAATATTGTACTATTTAATGAGTACTATGAACTCTATTTCTTGTCAGTTATGTTTTCCTGTGTCCCAAATTCCTTTGTGAAATATATGAGGAAATGATGCTACCATTGCCAGCAGAACTGTGTCCATATTCAGAAAGCCAAGATGATGATGATGCTGATGATGAGAAGCCGATTGCATCATGTAAATCAGCTGGTTCTGTTGGATCACTTGACAGTGACGGATCAGCCAGACTACGCAGGTATCAGTAATTCATATGTTGATTAGAAAAATAAACAAGAATGCGATATAATACCAATGTGCATGATATACGGAATTCACAAAATGTGCATGATATACGGAATTCACAAAATGTGCATGATATACTATTTTGTGTCAGTGCAATGATTGAGGTGAACATAACTACTACTAGTGATTGCGGCAACCCTGTTTTATTTTACAAT